GTCCGGAGAGCCACATCTGATTGGACGATAGGAAAATAGGCGTGTCTAGGGGCCACATCTGATTGGTCGATAGGAAAATAGGCGTGTCCGGATGGCCATATCTGATTGGACCAAAAAAAAAAAGGCTGAACGAAAAAAAAGCAGTTTGTGTTAACCAGACATATTATGTCTATGGTGGTAACCGGTTCAACATTAGCAGCGTCTCCATAACTTCTTTTTCCGCCTCTCTTAACACAGAACTTCCGGTAAAATTTCAAAATAAGAGCAACACAACTGTGTAGTGGGGAGAGCCAAATGTTAGTTTTTTTTAATACCTAGCCGTAACATTAAAAAACAAATTCCATTTTGGTTGTTGAAAAATGTGAAAAAAGTTACAATCGGTTCATAAAGAAAAATATTAATGATACTTAAGGACAAAGGATGTTTCCTTTAACTTCACATTTTCTTGTTCAACTTTTTAAATCAGTCCCTGCAGATGAGCGATGGTCAGTTTCTGTCAGAGTTCTGCACCTGGAGCAGGTATTCTGTTTACTGGTTCACTTCCTCAGCTGTCTCACATTTTAAGGCTCAGTCCTTCTCCATGTTTCAGCTGCTTTCATACTTCACATCTCATAGAAGAACTTCTAAAGAGCAAACTTTGTTTTTAGCTTTTGTTTTGGGCCATTATGTCATTACAGGACTCGTGATCTTTAATTGAGACCAGACTTTTTGACAAAGAGGAGCAGGTTTCTCTTCAGATGCTTCACTGTACCCAGAGCAGACTCAGAACAAGCTGTGTCAGGTGCAGCTACAACCCAAGGACTAAAGAGACTCTTCTTGTGTTTGACAGTACATTTAACGCTGGTTCTTAAAAACCTTCAATTTAAAAAAGAGTTGATGTAACTTTACTAAAGAGCCAGTTTTATCTCATTTGTTCATGTGACAATGTTTCAGATTTGCCCACATCAAAGAAAGGAGCAGCAAAAATAAAAAAACATATAAAAGTAGAAAACCAGCACATTTAGGAGTCAGTACATAACCAGACTTTTGGCCCTCACACCTGTACCCAGGTGCTCATGCTGCATGATGAGATCAGATTTATCCATATTTTAGAAATTACATTTAGCTTAGTCGACAAAACAATACAAATGAAGACCGTCTCTCTTAAAAACCCTCTTGGTTTTGCAGTAAGCAGCCTGATTTCAAACTGACATCTTGGCCAAAGGTAAAATAAAAATCTTTGTGTTCTCAGAAAAGTTGTTTCAGGACCTCCAATAAACTTATGTACACATCAAAGCACACAAGACAGATTCAGGAATTCTCTTTGTTTTCCAGATTTCACATTTGTTATTACCTTAAAACATACTCAGACAACATTTGATGCATCATTGATTTTTTTATTGTGTTTATTGGGACATCCATTTTTAGAAGTCTTCGTAGCATCTGTTGGAAACACAGAACACAGTACAGTTAGGGTGTTGCTAGTTGTTACTTATTGTAATGTGTGGGCATCACAGTACAACAGCTGGACTACTAACTTGCATCCATGGCACAAAGTGGCTGCAGTACCCAGGAGGAATGGCTTCACTGTGGAAGGCCCTCAGCTCGCCTCTTTTGCTGCTGCCCCAGAAACCTGCAGCACAGTCTTTAAATTCTTCTCCACAGACACAAATGACGTAAGGCTTTCTGTGCTCAGCCTGAAACTCTTCAGGCTTCTTCGGTAATTTTGAAAGTCAACATCAGATGTTGAGCAACTTCTGATGTTGGTCAACATTGTTGAGCAACATCTTGGGGTCTTCTAGAGTCAGCCTGAAGTGAGAGTGGTTCCTGACATGGCAGAAAGACAAAGATATAATTAACAGCTTTTATTTATTTGTTTTTCAGCTAATAACAACTTTTATTTATTTGTTTTTCATATTTTTCAGTTATACACAGCTTTAAAATATTTATTTTTCAAGTATTAAGAACTTTTATTTTCAGCTTTTATTTTGAAAAGCACCACCCAGTTGTTGTACACGTGCACAGTTAGAGCTGCTGTGGAGGCTCACGTTACCTCAGTGGTTACCTGCGTGGGAGCTCCCACCAGGTGTTCACATGAGCTAAACTTCTAAAGCACGACAACAACGAGAGAACGGTCGAAACTATCGTGACCTTCAATAAACCTACTTCAATAAAATGCATAAGTGAAAACATAACATACTTTATAAGTACAATAAATCATATTTCTTTGTCAAACATCGCAAAGAAACGTTACCTCATCAATAATCCTCGTGACTTTGAGGGTTACCCACAGCCAATCAGTGTTCGCCGCTGACAAACGCCTATTAAATACTGTTAGCCAATCAGTGGTCGCCGCCCATAAACGCCTATAAACACTGTTAGCCAATCAGTGGTCGCCGCCCATAAACGCCTATTAAACACTGTTAGCCAATCAGTGGTCGCCGCCCACAAACGCCTATTCCTCAGAAACGCCCACTTTTGGTCTGCAGAGACCCCTTCTCTTCCTCCGGCTCAGAGGAGTCTCGGCCTTGCAGAAGCTGCTCCATGGCTCCTCTGCTCTTCCTCCTGCTCGGCTTCCTCGGCCTCCTCCTTTTCCTCCTCCGCGGCAGAACCAGGTCAGTGTGGCCCGGTCCGGTTCTCTACTGGGCCCAGGGAACCGGACCGGGTTCTGGAGCTCCGGTGTTCTCTGATGTGAACAGGAACTTGAGTTTGAAACTGGACCTTTTTTTTTTCCTTAAGTTTTTATCAACATTACTAACGTGTCTGCCAGCAGTTATTATATGATACAGTTATTATATGATACAGTTATTATATGA